TCGAAAGTCTGCTCCTTGTCCCCGCGGCGTGGCGCTTCCCTGTGTGGACACGCCGCAGCCGATCCCGTCTTCCGCCCGGGGACACCCGGGCCGCCTGCCGTTGTCAGTGCCCACGAGCTGAGCGGCCGTGAGCAACCTTCCCGTGCAGGCTGCTGCGTGAGCACGAGTTTCCGCTAAAGCTTACATCGCTTTCCCCTCAAAAGACTGGTGACCAATGTGTTCATCACAGACACCATTTTCAAAAATATGGAGGGTCTCCCTTATCATTCAAAGTAGGGAATGAAACTCCTGGGCCATATGGCGAGGATGGGATTGACTTTGGAAGAAGCCGCTGGGTTGTTTTCCAGGGTGGCCGGCTGCATTCCCGCAGCGGCGCGTGGGTGCTCCAGCTGCCCCGCACGCCGGCCCACACCTGGTGCTGTCAGGGTTCTGTATTTCAGTCGTTCTAGTGGTCTCGCCGCGTGGTTCTGATTTGCCTCTTGCTAATGGCCAGTGATGGTGACTATCTTTCCGTTGCTCATTCTTCTCCTCGACATCCTCTTTGGGGAAGTGTTCATGTTTCGTCCATTTTTTAACCAGGTTGTTTGTTGTCTCCCCATTGAGTTTTGAGAGTCCTTTACATGTTCTGGTTTCAAGGCCTTTGCCGGATAAGTAATTTGCAAATATTTTCTCCCAGTCTGTAGCTTGTCTTTTCATCCTCTTAAAAGAGTCTCTTGCAGAACAAAAGTTTTAAACTTTGATGAGGTCCAATTTATCCATTTTTTTTTAATGGGTCATCCTTTGGTGCCAGGTCTAAGAACCTGTTGCCTACTCACAGGTCGTGAAGATTTTCTCCTATTTTTTAATAAAACTATTTATAATTTTACATTGTAGCCAGAGATCTGTGATCTGAGTTAAATTGTGTATAAGGTGTGGACTTGGGTTGAGGTACATTATTTGGCATATGGATGTCTAGTTGTTCTAACACCATTAGTTGAGAAAACTGTCCTTTCTCCATTGAACTGTCTTTGCACCTTTGTCAAAAATCAGTTAGATTTAGGTGGGTTCATGCATGGACTCTATTCTGTTTCATTGACCTATGTGTCCATCCCTCCTCCAATACCACACTGCCTTGATTACTACAGTCATACAATAAATCTTAAAATCAAGTGATGCAATTTCTCTAACTTTATTCTTCTTTTTCACAACTATTTGGCTATTTTAATTCCCTTGTATTACTATACAGTTTTAGAAAGAGTTTGTCTCTATCTAAACAAAATCCTGCTGGAATTTGGATTGGAATTTCATTAAACCTGTAGACCAATTTGGGGAGAGAATCAACATCTTTACTATGTTGTCTTCCAATCCATGAACATGGTATGTCTCTTCATTTATAAAAGTCCTCTTTGATTTCTTCCAGCAGCATTTTCCAGTTTTTAGCATAAAGATTCTGTACATTCATTTTGCAGATTTATTCCTAGTATTTTCTTTCTCTGATTCTATTATATATGGTAGTGTTTTTAAATTTGGCGGTTTTTAACTGTTTATTGCTCATATGTAGACATATGATTGACTAAATGTCCTTTCAGCAATAGGTCATCACAACCATTATATAACAAGACAGTTATGACTATGTGACTATCTCCAATTATCTGTGCAACTAACAATTTGTAGCCAAAAAGCCCAAGTCAAAGTCCTAGTTCGGTCACTATAACCAAAAAAATTGTATGATTCCATGATAATTATCCTGTTTACTTAAGATCTGTACAATGTGTTTGGTTCTATATTAAAAATTATCTAAGCAGCCTACAAGTTAATTTGACTAAATAACCGATGCCTGTTGCACACTCAGTTCTGTGCTGAGGGCTGTGAATAAACCAACCGCCTCTTCCACGAACGGTCCCGACCCCTGATTTCACAGCTCTGAGAGCTCAAATGGAACTTACCACCATCACATGTGCCTTAAAAGATTTAAATTATCTTTTCCTCAAAAGTTTAGCGGCCAATATATTTATTATAAAAATCACTTACAAAAATAGGTTGTTTTTCTTTTTTCAATCAAAGCAGGTGTGCATAATTCACCTGGGAAACGTCGTTATCTGCATAATGCTCCGTTACATCTCTCGCAACATGAGCCAGTCTTCATGGTACGAGCTGTGCGTGCTGTGACGAAGCATTCAATTCTTTAAAAAGCATCCAGTAAAGCTTAAGGCATTTTTCTAGTTTAATTGCAGTATGAGTAATTTAAAGGCAAACGGTGTTTCTGTAACTCAAAACCCAACACACGGCGCATAGGAAAATCTGTGCGAAGACCACCAAAGGGGAAAGTAGCTTGGACTGAATTTTGATATGTTCCAAGGATATCAGGCCCCGAGGATGGGGTCTGATAAATGACTTCACCCAGCAGACAGACCACACACTTAAAGAGATTTGTCTGAAAGTGAGCGATACCAACACCCTCCAGGCTTATCTAGTATTTTCAGTCCTCACTGTGGCGCTCACTGTCTGCTGGAGGAGGAGACCGGGCGAGGCTGGTTAGTGGGGCCGGGACGGCCCTGGCGGGGCACGCAGAGGCCGCGTGGGCGGGAGACGAGGGCACACGCAGGAGCAGAATCCGAGGAGTGCCCGGCTTCACCAGAGCTTCCCGGAGACAGGAAGTCGGAACCAGAAGCGTTGGGGGTTCGAGCAACGAACGCAAGCTCCTGCCCCTTCCCTGGCTGCTGCGACAGGCTCAGGTTCGAAGGCCACAGCGTCCGTCTCTAAGAAGACCGAGCGCAATCGAGTCGCTCCCCCACGCGTGGGACGGTGGGGACGTCGGTCAGCAGACAGCACCCACGCGGCATGCGGCGCGTGAGGGCATGGGGCGCCGTCCGTGGGGAGCGTGGGCTGAGTGCAGGCCACTCTGCCTCAAGCAGGTGCACAGTCTCGTCGCAAGTGAGAGGACAGCTAACAACGAGGGGCAGAACACAATTCGGGGTGAAACATGAGGTCCCAATCATCAAGAAATGCGGGCCACGGAACCGGATCATTCTCCCACCGCTGACACAGTCAAAAGCTCTCGGGCGGGACTTGCGTCCGCTTCAGCCCAACATGCTCACGGACCTGGGCCACGCTGGCCACCGGCAGGCGGTCAGGGGTGAACGAGCCGCGGCTGAGGCGTCGGGGATGAGGAGCCGTGTCCCCTGCCTCCGCGGTGCTCACAGCCATGGGGAGACGGACATGGTGCACGGTGCCGCCACGCTCCACAGGGACGGTGCTCGTGAAGGCCAGGTACCAGGTACGGAGAGCAGAGACCGCGGTGCCGAGTCGCCCGGGAGCTGCAGCGAGACCCCGGCAGGCGCCTTTGCCCCGGGCCGGACGCGGCACCCGGCAGAGGGCAGAAGGAAGGAGGAGGGGCTAGCAGACAGGACGCCCTGCACAAGGCCAGCTGCGCAGGAGCTTGGCCTGGCCGCCGCCCTGGGCGTGGGTGCCGGCCTGTGGAGCGGGCGGCGCTGGGAGCCTGGCTCCTAACAGGCTGAAGCCGGTGGCGGCCCCAGGACACTGGCGGGGGGGGGGGCAGCCGTCATCGCGTCCGCGTGTTCTGAGCTTGCTCTCCACGGTGGGAGGGAAGCCGAGGGGGCAGGGAGTCGCGTGGGTCGCTCGTGAGAGGACTGGGGGCTTTGGGCACACGCTGAAGGGCACCGACGTCCCAGGGGAGAAGGGGAGCTTGTTTATCTGTCAGTTCCCAGGGGCGAATACAAGACATGCTTTGGAGAAGGTGCAGGTGTGTTAGCGGAGCACAGGGCGAGGTTTCACTGCGCGCTGTTTGACGTGTGACAATCCACCTCCGCTGCCGTCGCAAACGCCAGCAAGCGTGTGGCCAGGAACGTGTGAGGTTTGCAGACACTGTCCCTGTCACTCCCAAGTGCCGTCGCCACCCACTGACTGAGCCCAGAGATGAGCTTTGATAGGCTTTTTGGTGGCAAAACTGTCCTTTGGGGGAGAAGGGGCCCCCAAACAACGTGCACGGAGCTGAGAGGCGGGAGGGAAACGCTTGTGTGGTTTCAACACATCTAAGTGACTCGAGTTCGCCAAATCCTCTGCAGACGGGGCAGTGCCACCCCGCCCGGGTCGGAGCGCCTCTGGGCCCCGAAGCTCGCTCCTGCCCGGATGGCTCAGGCCCCTCCCAGGCTCCGTGTTCCCGTCCAAGTGGGTGCCGGTGTAGCAGTGAGAGAGCGAGGGAGAAACTGAGTCAATTTTGCAAGCTGCTCCCCATTGCCTTGCTTTTCCGAGAGCTCCGTGGTCTGCCCCGTGGCAGCTCAGACCTCAGGTGCCTCAGGGCGTTGGCGGCAGCGGAGAGCGGGGGAGGGCGGGGCGGTGGCGGGACAGCAGCCTCCCCCTGGGGCTCTCTTCCCTCCACCGTGCTCCGGCAGTGCCTGCAGTTCCGTGTCTTCTGTGCAGTATCGACCGCCCTGGAACGTCCTGGTTCAGCCGAGCGTGCGGGCCCAGACACCACGCCCACCCTGCCCTCCTCGCTCCTCACCGAGACGGGCGTGGTGGGTCCGGAGCAGGCAGACCCGGGACCCCTGGGGCAGGACGCTGACTTTGAGGAATGTTACTCGACCCCTTCCGAGCGAGGGGACGGACGCGTCCTCTGCCACCGTGGGCTGGCGGGCGCCGTCACCAGGCGCTGTCCTCTGAGCAAACCCCCAGGCTGCAGGGAGAGTCCTTCCCTCCCTGGCTGCCCGCCAGCCGGCCGGCCGCACCTTGCAGGAAAGGGCCCTTACGTTGCCGCCGGCCCCCGCTGTCCCTGTGCGCCTTCAGAGAAGCAGCCACTGCGGCAGTGGCAGCGATAGGAACATCTGCCCAGCGAGTCGCAACCACACAGCCCGACCGACGACCCGCCAAGGCCGCGCCCGCCCCGCTGTGTCCTGTGCGCGGCAGTGGCTCGCACCGGGACGTCCAGACCCACACAGCTCCCCGAGGAGGATGAGACTCGGGGCTGTGGCCTGTCCCGGGGTCACCGTGCCTCTGTCTTGCAGGACTCACACCACGCGGCGAGGACCACCCACTACGGCTCCCTGCCCCAGAAGTCCCAGCACGGCCGGGCCCAAGAAGAAAACCCCGTAATCCACTTCTTCAAGAACATCGTAAGTGGCGCTGTGGGGACGCGACTACGGGGGGCAGGAGGGCTGCCAGCCGCTGCCACAGTCCACAGGGGACATGCACTTGTCCTCGGGTGACACGGGGTCCCGCAGGCGAGGCTGGCCCCGAGCTCCACCCTGGCGCCTCCAAGGTCACTGTTGAGGCCAGACTTCCTGGGAGGCTCAGTCTGGAAACAGGCTTTGCGAGGCCACCCAGGAGTGAGGAGGCCAGGCCAGGGAGGGGCCGCACAGACAGCGCGCAGGGCCCTGGGCGCGGAGCTGCCAAGCCTGCCTTGGTGCGGGCTGTGACGGGGACCCACCAGCCGCAGGGCGGTCACAGGAGCCGCGCCGGCTGCGGCTGCGCAGCCTGCGGGTGTTTTCCTCCCTCTCAGCCCCCAGTGCTCTGGGGGACCTGCAGGCGGGGCGGGCAGAGGGAGGGCGTTTCCCTCACCTGGCGGAGGGGCCCCGGGAGGGGCGGGCCGGGCTGCTCCCAGGGGCGGCTCCCGACCCAGCCCCGTCTGTGTCTTCCCAGGTGACGCCTCGCACGCCTCCTCCATCCCAAGGAAAGGTGAGAACTCGAATACTCCAGTGCTCTGCCCAGCCGTCCCTCTGCTTAGACTTTCCCCAGATCCCAGAACGCACCAGGAAGAGAGCTGGACTCAGAACTGCCTGGACTCATCCCAGAACGTTTTGCCATGTGGCTCCCAAGTAGAATGGGGCCGGCAGGGCCATGGCACCCCCTACATCCTCCTACACCCCCTGCGCCCGCCTACTCCTTCCCACAGCCCCGAACCTCCTCACCCGCCTACACCTAAACCCCGTACAACTTTCTATACCTTCCTACACCCCCCTGCACTCCCCTACAACATCCTACACCCCCTATACTCCTTATAACCCCTACACTCCCCCAAACCCCCTGCACCCGCCTACTCCTTCCCACAGCCCCGAACCTCCTGCACCCGCCTACACCTAAACCCCGTACAACTTTCTATACCTTCCTACACTCCCCTGCACTCCCCTACAACATCCTACACCCCCTATACTCCTTATAACCCCCTACACCCCATTGCACCTCCTAAAGCCCCTGCACTCTCCTACACCCCCTGCACCTGCCTACTCCTTCCCACAGCCCTGAACCTCCTGCACCCTCCTACATTCCCTCACCCCCTGCACCCTGCCTTACACCCTTGCACTTCGACCCTACCCCCCCTGCACCTCTACACCCCTGCACTCCCCTACACCCCTGCACCTCCTGACCCCTGCACTCCCCTACACCCCCTGCACCCTCCTGCACCCCCTGCACCCTCCTACAGCCCCTGCACTCCCCTACACCCCCCTGCACCCTTCCCTTTTTTTTTTTTTGCAAAACCCCCCCGCACCCTCCTACACGCCCCTGCACTCCTCCTAACCCCTGCACCCTCTGCACCCCTGCAGAGGTTGCAGTCCTCAGTGCAAAGCTCCAGGCAGGCGACCCGGCTGGTGTGAGCGCGTTCAGCTCAGTGCTGGAGGGTTTGATTGTTTCCTATGTCTGGAAAGAACCTTCTTCTCACTGACGCCGTGTCCTGTCTCTTTCTCTTCCTCACACAGGGGAGAGGACTCAGCAGATTCAGCTGGGTAGGTGCAAACGCGTGTCCGTTCACCTTCCTCCTCCTCTCCGGTCCTCCCAGCACTGACTTATGCTGCGCTTAACGCCCATCCTTCCCGCTGAGACCGCCTGCCCAGCCTTCTCCTGGCAGGGAAGCGGGCCCACCCCTTCAGCTCATTAACGCCTCTTGCTCAGCACAGCAAACCCTCTTTTCCCAAGGGGTTCCTGGCGACTGACTGGTCTCCCTCCCAGGGAGGAGGTGACACCATTCTTGAGATAATTTCTCATTTCCTTCCAACACAACTGACAGGAAAAGCAAAGCCCAATGTCTGAGTGGGGAGCTGCCGCCAGGGCCCCACCTAGATAAGCCCAAATGTTGACTGTTACTGCAGAAAAGCGATGCTGCTATGAAAAGAAAAAGACACTAAATTCACTAATTCAATTTACAATCACCCCATTAATCCAAAATATTTTGTCCTTGTTTATATTTTAGTAATAACTAAAACTTCCTCCTTAGGAATTTCAGGCTTTTTAATACAGAGCACGAAGCTAATCTATTCATTTTCTAGTGAATTTGGTGTCACACCAAATTAAAATGCCCCACCATTATATTTTAACCAAATTTATAGACTTTAGTTCCCAGAAAATATCAGATAGGGTTCTTACTGTATAAAAATTATAATTTTCAAGGCCAGGAGAGGTGGCTCACACCTGCAATCCTAGCACTCTGGGAGGCTGAGACGGGAGGATCACTTGAGGCCAGGAGTTCAAGACCAGCCTGAGCATGAATGAGACCCCATCTCTACTAAAAATAGAAAAATTAGCCAGGCATGTTGGCGCATACCTGTAGTTCCAGCTACTTGGAAGGTTAAGGTGGAAGGATTGCTTGAGCCCAGGAGTTTGAGGTTGTTGTGAGCTAGGCTGACACCACGGCACTCTAGCCCGGGTGACAGAGTGAGACTCTGTCTCAAAAAATAAATAAATAAAATCATAATTTTCACAATGAAATGGAGGAACGACCACCAGCTCATTAGAGATACACAGTGTCTATCTCAGGAGCTGCGATATCCTCGTACGCCAGGACAGAGCCCACCTGTACCTGCTGATCAATTAGTAAGCATCACATAAATGAATGAATTTTCAGAGAGAGGACTAAAATATCTAAGAGAAAGAACAGGAAGATAGAACAGGAAATAAAAACAGAGGGCTGAAGGGAAGGTGGAAGCGAGTGAGAGAGGAAAAGGAAAGGTCCCCCGAGGCCTGTCTGTGCATGGAGTTGTACGAGTTTTGAGGCATGGGTCCTCAAAACTCCTTAAACGGGGTCAGGTCACTGTCCCTCAGACCGTGGGAGGGCTGTTGGAGAGTGCGGGTCACATTCCACACATGCGCACTGTGGGCCCGGGACGAGTCGGCTGCTAAGCAGGACAGGCAGCGGCGGCAAAAACACCCGGCGGGCCGGATAAATGTCCTCGGCGGGCTGCATGAGGCCCGACGGCTGCATGTGGCCCGAGGGCCGCAGTTTGAGGACGCCTGCTCTAGGGTGTCTGCTGAACACTTGCAGTGATACTTACCAGACTGGCTTTTGCTGACAGAATGAATTTGCAGAAAGATGGCAAGGCAGAAAATTCCCAGGGCCCAGCGGCTCACAGACGACTATTAACACTGTTGACTTTCCAGCAGGAGACAAAGATGACGCTGAAGAACGAAATCCAGTTCTGACCCAGACATCTTGCTTTAGCTCCCGTGGCCTGCCTCTCGGTTTTCTAGGCGTGGCTCCTGGGTGCTGTGCAGAGGCCTCACTCACTGCTGGGGGGAGTGACAGCCACCTGTGCGGCGCTCACCCAGCTAACGAGGCCGCCCTGCTTCCCCGCACTCCCGCGTCCGCCCTGCTAACGCGAGTTGCATCCTCTTTCTTCCCACGCGAAAGCCTTTCTGTGTTTGGCCGGTCGCCCGCCCGTGCCCTGAGCCGCAGGGCCGCCTCCTTCCCTTCCTAACTGTGTTGCATGCTTCCAGGTAAATTCCAGGCTGTCCAGAGACAAAGGCCACTAAGAATCGGAAAGCAGGGAAATCACACAGATCATTAACCCGAAAGCCCATCCCTGAATTTAGTTCTCAGAAGCTCTTCAGTTTTGGAGCTGGCCAGCAGAGCGAGACAGGGAGATCTGGCACTCGCATGGGGAGTGCGGTTTTCCGGCATTTTGGACGTCTGTCTGCCGCCAAGCTGCTGCGCACCTGTCCCCTCCCCTGTGCCCTGATGGCCACGGAAACCCCGGAGGGGAGGGTGGGGAGGGGGGCAGGGGCGGCACTGGCTGTCCTGAGCGTGCAGTGCTTCTGCATCTTTGGCACGGATGCCCCGACCCTCACCCTGCATGGTGACCCTGGGATCAGACTGTCACGTGAAAGTAGCGCCCGGGTTCCCGGTGGCTGGGTCCCTTCCCGGCAGCCTGTGAGGCGGGAGGCACCTGGCAGAGCAGCCTCGGGATCCCATGGTCCTGCCTCTAAGATAAAGAGACCATGGGTCAGAGTGTCCCCGAGGCCCTGCCTTCCCTGAAATGCCTGTGTGAAGCACAAAGGGGCGTTGGCCGGCCCAGAGGTGCGGGGCGCCGGCCAGGGGGGCGGTCTGGCCCATTTGCTAGTCTCAGGAGAGGACGTGGCCAGGACCTGCCATTTCTTGTCTGCCAGACGTAACCGCACCTGCCTGGGAGGGACCTTCTCCCCAGGGCCCATCCCCCGTCCTCCCACTCAGAGCAGCCCCTGACGCTCCCTGTCCGTGTGTACGGCGGAAGTGCCACATGCAAGCACAGCAACCTGGGCCCAGAGCACAAAAGTCCTCCTATTTCAGTAGTCGCTCGCCCTGGCTGCTCACACGAGGAGGGCGGAAGGGGCTTCGGGGAAGTGGAGGCCGGGCGGGCAGCCGCCTCCGTGACCAGCGCTAGTCCCCACACCCAGGCCGGCCCCCCGCGCCTGCAACACCTTGGTTCCCCCTGTGCGCTCACAGGACCCCGTGAGGAAGGGGCCGTTTTTACCCGCATTTTACAGAAGAGGCAACTGCAGCTCAGAGAGGCTCCGTCCGACCTGCCCCAGGTCACAGGGCCCCTCGCGCAGGGTGCAGGGCCCAGCCCCCAACCTCCGTCCCGCTCAGCAGCCCGGGCCGCTCATGAGGACCTCGTCCCAGGTCCAGCTACGGCCCCAGGTCCAGCCATGGTCACCCCAGAGGATCAGGAACTTTGTCTTCACACTGTAGAAGAGGAAGGAGGCCCAGAAAGTCAGAGTCCCCAGGTGTTGGTCCTGCAGCTAGATCTCTAGTGGCAGAACAGTCGGAGGGCGCCAGGGCACTGCTGCCCTCTGGCCAGGCCCCCGGGTGCCCGCGGGGAGGCCGCTCCCTCCACTCGCGTGGACACGGCCTCTGTCCCCGGAGCTCGGGGTGTCTGCTAATCTTCTCTTGCACCCCGCAGCGTGGAGAAGGTAAGTGGCTGTTCCACAAATGAGTCAAATCCTCAAACAGGTGCGTCTGGGCCGAATGCCGCTCAGCAGAGCCTCACCCCAGGCAGAGCCCTCCTCTCCTGGGGCCGACCCCCCACAGACCTGGGGACAAGCGGCCTCTCCCTCCCCCCTCCTGCTCCTCCCAAAGACAGACCATGGTGTGGCAGGCCCTTTCCTGGGTCCCTGCCAGTGGCAGCGCGAGTGGCCCGGCTGTGCAGGGGCTGAGGTCCCTGTGGTCTTTCCTTGCAGGGGGCCGAAGGGCAGAGGCCAGGCTTTGGCTACGGCAGCAGAGCGTCTGACTATAAATCAACTCACAAGGGATTCAAGGGGATCCACGACGCCCAGGGCACGCTGTCCAAGATCTTTAAACTGGTAACGTACCTCTTTGCAATTGGGCGCTGGGGCCAGGGGCTGTGTGCGGGCTGCACACACACCGGGGGTGTCCTGGCTAAACCGTGCCCCCGGGACAGACTCGGGGCGGAAACAGCCTCGGTTAAAAGAAAAGTTTGCTCCAGAATCCTGAGCCGAGGTGGGCCCGAGGGTCGCCCCGCCCCAACTCCCAGCGCAGGGCACACACTGGACACACTCTCTGTCCCCGAGCGAGAGCAGGGGGCCCTGGGTGGGCCGGCACAGGTCTGCCCTTCCATGCTATTTTCTGAGCTTCATTCAGACCAAGAGGTACCATGTTTCTCCGAAAATCAGAAAGGGTCTTCTATTTAGTTTTCCTCAAGAAGACACCGTAAGGCTTATTTTCAGGGGGTGTGTCATTTTCCCCTCAAAGCCTCAGCTTGCAGCACGCACAGGATGGCCAGGACCTGACAAGGGGAGCCGACCTTGTTGGTGGGGCTGCCCGCACCCTTTCAGTCACCTCTGGGGTAGTCGCTGTCACAATGGGGCAGGTGAGAAGGGCTGCCCGTCTTCTTTCCTGCTCCGAGACGACAGGCATGGGTTGTGCAGACGCGCTGCGTAGCCACGCCCAGCACTAGGGCTTATTTTCGGGACAGGGCTCCTATTGCGCACATGCTTAGAAATCCTGCTAGGGCTTATTTCATGGGTAGGTCTTATTTTCAGGGAAGTACGGTATGTATAAAGTAAAAATAGTTGGAGGATACATAACAAGGTGGAAATAGCTCAGGTTTCACATAGTTGATTCTGAGATGGAGGGCATGAGGCTGGGAGTAGGAATCAGATAAATTGGTCTTGGGAGCTTCAGAAACTGCTTGTCTGTCTCCAGAGATTTAGCAGGTATCTGTTAGGCACACGTTATGTGTCAGACTTTGTGAAGCAGAAAGAGTTCCTGGGCCCAAACACTCAAGCGTTTCACCTGATAAAGTCCAGCTGCGTTAAAACCTGGACACCGACGCGTGGGAGGATCAGTAGAAAACAGGAAGAAAAGAAAGCGGAAGGAAGTTTACAGGATAAAGAGGAGGAGACAGAACGGCAGCGGCTGTCTGAAGTGGGGGCGATCACTGCCGGGCTCCCAGAGACGCTCTTGGTGGTGGACAGTGTGAGGCCGATGTCGGGGCGCACAGGACGTCTTCCCAGAACCTGCACCCACACAGCAGCGTCCTCAGGCCAGCGGGCCACGTTTGGGGACTTCGTGTGTGGGTGCTCCCGGCGTGTGTGGGTGCTCCCAGTGGTTGGTGGCACAGAGGGATGGCGCTCGCTCGGCGGCTCCGGCACCGCGAGAGGCGGCCGAGCTTCACCAGAAAGGCTCCTGCTGCAGGCATCTGGGTCACGGCGCCCTGGCGAGATCTGTCGCCCAGGGCCGGCCCCGCGCCCTGCGAGCTGGTCACGCCCGCGGCTCTGGGACCAGGGCCCCTGACCCGGCCACAGCCCAGCCGGCGCCTTCAGGTTCAGCCGAGTCCTCAGTCCAGGCCGTCACTACTACGAGATCTCTAGTTAGGTGGGTTTGCTAACTGGTTCACCAAGACACCACGGTGTTACGATTTATGGGGAACGATCTGGTCTGGGACACAAACACTCACGGATTCAGTCACCTAACTATCAAGACACAGGTGTGGGGCCACTCTGGCTAGTGGCAGTGGGGACAGACCCAGTCCCCCCACATCCTCGGGGAGTGCGTGCACGCACGACGGCCGCCCACAAGCCCAGCTCCAGGAGGCCCTGTGGGTGACACTCAGCCTGTGGGAGGTGCGGCCTGCCTTGGAGGAAAGTCGGCCTCACTCGGGAGAAGTCTGACAGGCATGACCTTGCTCTGTGGCAGCGGGCTGGCTGCTCAGTGTGGACTCCGGGTGGGAACGGCAGTTCTACGCCAGACAGCCAACCAGCAGGACCAGCGTGATGGATTCTGCCTCCATTCTGGAACGTGGCCCCGAGGGGGTGGTGACGCAGACCCTGGAAGACTCTGTCTGTGCCCGGAGCTGCACCGGAATAGCAACGGCCCCACCAGCGCCGGGCCGGTGGGGCACCTGCCCCTGGGCCACGGCTGGCTCCACCCCACACTCACTCACCAGGACGTCCCAGGGTGACCCCAGACAGTGGCAGTGGTGATGGCCTCCCAGCTGGTCCCTGTAACCACACTCATCCGAGAAGCACGGACTGGTCCTATCGGCACGACTGGTGAGGACAGCATCAGCCTGACGACCGCAGGACACAGCAGCGGGCGGGGACAGTGGGGAGGCCAGCGCGGCCCCACCTAGGAAACTGCCTCCTGCCCCGGCAACGTGTGCAAGAGATATGGCCGGCCACAGAGGACGCTCGGCAGCCAGAGCTTGTCACCGCACACGGACGCGCAGAAAGCGCCACTTCCACCCACACGCTCACTGTGTGCACGCACAGCCAGCGCACGAAACCCACTCGTTTTCTCAAGTAGGTTCGACATTTCCCCTGAAACTTTCTGTGAGCAGCTCTTAAAATTTTTACATTTCTATGCAGTTCAAGAAAAAGCTTCAATTTATCAAATTACAAGGCATTCCAATTCATATGCTTGTCATTAAATGTCTCACTACATGAAGAGTTCAGAACTGGGCTACGGTGACCCTACGGCGGAATGGGTTGACAAGAAGCAGGTACAATAGATACATTTTTAAAACACCCTCTCCCCAGGGATTATGGGAGTACAGTAGTTGGAAAAAGTAAAACCCTGAGAAATCACAATTATTCCCTTGATGTGGTAACTGTCATTTGTAAGTGTCCTGGCGTCGGGGCTGTGGTCATTGTGTCACATTGCATCATGTCACTGGGCAACGTGGCGAGTGCAGAATCAGACCGGGCTGGGTGCCGGCATGCCGGGTGGTATAAGAGCATGTTCCTTAAATGCCGTGCTTGCTGGGGGCTCCGGTCAAAAGGAATCTTGGAGAGATCAATTTTCCATCCACAACCTAAGGTAAAAGAAGGAAACCCAAGGAGAGACAGGCTGAAGTTTGAATGCAAAAACCCAAACAAGTGGTCCCCTTTGTCAGTGGGAACGACCTCCCAAGTGACAAGCCGGTGGCTCTTCTCGGGGCCAACGCCCGGACTGGCTGCCTCTGCACGGCGGGTCACCGCACACCTGGCTCCATCTGCGCCAGCGTCAACTCTTTTTATAAAAAGCGTCGAGTTGTTTTTGTCCAGAAAACATGTAAATTTATGGTGTTAAGGCCCCTTTAAGTCAAAGCTTGCAGACCAACCACTCTGTGGCATCGATCCGTCTTGGCAAATACGGGCGTCCCCAGGCACAGCCGTGGTGGTTGCCTGGCTTGTGCCCGGTGCTCGCAGAGCTCGGCTGTCGGCGCTGGGTTCTCTCCCAAGACAAAGTTGTCCCTGTCGTTGTTTACAGACAGTGTCCCTCGATGACCCTGGCATCTCTAGCCAGAGGAAGAAAGTGACCATTCAAAGCAAAACAATACAGACACTGAGCACAAATGTCCTGTCACCCCGGGCACCGCTGCCCGTGTCCCGAGGACCGTGGTCGCGTGAATTTATCCCGCGTCACTGACGACTCGGTCAGCGCTGGCCGGGGGCTCGAGGAGTGGAAGGAACCGGTGTGTGATGGGGACATGGGCAGGGGAAACCGGGCTGGGGGAGCGGAGCTCACGCTCCCGTCTAACTCCTGTGTCTTCCTTTCCACAGGGAGGAAGAGACAGTCGCTCTGGATCGCCCATGGCCAGACGCTGAGCCCGCCTCGTTCTGGATCCTGCCCTCTGCTTCCCGACATAACTGCCTTAAAACGTTACTACCCTCACATGGATTAGCTAGTTAGAGCAGACGACCTCCCCCCTAATGCCTGTTGAGCTGTGCATGCAGTAGGGTCCAGCACACGGCACCCTGCTAGCAATTTCTGGCCAAAAGTTACATGGAGAAAAAGAAAACAGAAAATGGTCAAAACTGTCACTTCGCCTTTGAAGATTCCATTTCCTGGGAGTGCTCCCTCCCCGACAGGAGCCCCCAGAAGCACACGGCTCCCTGCAGGTCCGCGTGCACGGACGTCCCCCCAGGTTCACCCCTCCATCCTTGGACTTCCTTTTCGCCGTGACCACGGCACCCCGAGCTTCCACTGGGCACTGCCATGGACGCACACCGCTGTAGGGACAGAGAACACGATGGGCGGGAGGACTGTTGTGATCCAAGCTTCTTTGGTTTCTTTTCCCACCCTTCTCTCACCTCCTAAAGTGTATTTATTTCTCCTAACAGGATTAGACAGTCAAGGAGTGGCTTACTACCCGTGGGAGCTTTTGGTATGTGAAACGCGGGCCCGGGCGGCTGTTAGAGTCCAAGGTGGGCAGCGCAGAGAGGGGGGCGCGCCTCCAGGCCGAGGCTGCCCACCACCCCACTTAGCTGAATTCGTGCGTGGCAGAGAGAGGACAGGTGGCAAGTGCGGGCTGGGCACTGGCCTCACACAGGAAACGGGGCCTGCTTGGAAACTGGGTGGCGGAGATGTCCTACACGTGGCTGCGCGTTGTCACTGTGGCCCCGCACGGTGGCACCAGAGCGGCCTCCGCAAACGACCTCGTTTCCAAACCAGCACCCACAGCCGGGGAGTCCAGGCAGACTAGTGCGTCTCGGAGCAGAACTGTAGGAGTTCTCTGCTGTCCTCGTGGTGTTGCCCTGGTCACTTTTAGACGCCGCGTGTGGCCAGGGCGAGCTTGCATGGCAGTGCACATTGGCAAACACTAACCCTCGCGAGAAGATAACCTCTCACCTCCTCGCCTCCTAGCACTCCCCCGCCCTAGCGAGTAGACTGGGGAGTGGCCGCTCCTGAGTCACTGACTCAGACAGGCGGCCCGCGGGGCCCCCGGGACCCCCGGGACAGGGGAGCTCGCCGACCCGTGCCCAGCTAACCTCGGCTGACGTCCCCTCCCGCTCCGCCCCTAACGTACTGACTCCCTTTTGATTTGAGCGTGTCTTTCGTGGCCCTCCCCAACCAAGAGCCCCACACCGGCATCGTCCTCCCTTAGAACCAGACGAGGGTCGTCGCCGTGACGCCAAGACGCGCCCCTTCAACCCCGTGCTAACCCTGAATGCTCGGTGTGGGTTTAATATAATGCCTATTAATATATATAGCCTCAATGATGAGAGGGTAAGAAAAAAAAAACACAATTCCAGAAACGAAACGTCCACACTGTCCACCGTAAGCGCTCTGCATCTTTGAGCGGGTCGCTGGCCGCGGGGTGTCCCGCCTGGAGGCACCCAACGGTGTGTCGCCAGCACGCCCTGTTCTTGAGTATCGAAATAAAGTAATAAACGTTTAATGACATTGGCGTGGGTGTCTTGCTTTGTCGCTCGTGGAAAAAGGCTCACGTGCAGCGATGCCCACGTCTCAAGAGCCGAGCGCGCGTCTGGGCCAGGAGTCCCCGGGCCGCCTGGCGTGCCTGTTGAGGGGCCCTTGTCCCCAAGGAGAACGCATCAGTGAAGGGAAGCGGGACGAGGTGGCTGTTTGGGCGTGGATCCTCTAATGCGCAGGAGGAGATTTCTCCACCTACCGATGATGCGCTCCTGGAGGCTGCCACGTGGCAGTTCTGCTGGTGTGAGCCAGGAATCCTGGAGCGGCGAGCCACGTCTCCTCCGACAGCGTCACCGGCAACACGACCTGGTATTTTTGCTCATGGCTGCCTTTGGTTACAAGAACTCTTTTTCAAAAAGATAAAGTAAAAGCCATTTTGGTTTGGTTTTGCTTGTAGCAGAACCACCAGTTCCCCTGCGTGTCTCGTGGCGGCCGTGGGAAGCGTCTGCCTTGCGGGCTCTGGGGAGGGAGGCGTGCGTGCAGCAAGCGCGGGACGACTGCAGCCCATTTCTCAGGGTGGCAAAGCCCAGGCTCCTGCGCAGGGACCCAGGAACGCTGGATGCATTCCTTGCAGTCGCAGGACAAGCCAGAGGCTGGAGGAAGGGTCAGGGTCAGGGTTCAGTTAGGGTCAGGGTCAGGGTTAAGGTTAGGGTCAGGGTCAGGGTTAGGGGTGGGGTTAGGGTTAGCTGCCCAGCTTGCCCAGGGCGCCTCTTGCCACTTGCCTGCCCAGACCCTTCTGGCTGAGGAATTTGGAAAATCACACAAATGCAATTACATTTTCAAAATTGTATTCTTTTAGTTGGCACATCTATTTTAATCCCACATATGTAAAAAAGGTATCAAATGGTAAACCAAGGTCCTATTCTACAGTAAGCCAGCACTCCCGTGCTACCATGATACTCAGGCACACATGTTTAAGTAAAGAAAGCAGAACAGGAGCCATGCCTTGCCGAGCACTTACCTAGGGAGGCCTGCGTGATTCCCCCGAAGCTGACCGCGAACTGATCTCCCGGCTAGAGCGGTGCATGGTGAGCGCTCTGCCCTGCTCGCCGTGCTGGCTCAGCCGGAAAGGGCCTGGTGGGGCCTCGAGGGGTCTGGAGGGTCGCTGAGCTGGGCAGAGAACAGCAAACCACCACGACTGCACTGGCGCCGTCCGGCACCCATCTGCACAGCCACCGCCGCCGTCCGGGCTGCGAGGCGCATCCTTGTGCGCACAGCCTTGGCGGCGCGTCTGCACCAAGACGCTGACACTCAGACACGGGGAGGGACCTGAGTGGGGTCTGGGGTGATAAGGATGTGGACAGTTATTTGTGCTCTTCTTGCAGCTTTCTGTAAGTTTGAAACTGCTTCCAAAATAAAGGTTACAGGAAAAGGATAAAGACCTTGGATTATTAAGTTTGAGAAAGGCGACTGAAAGAGAACTTAGAAACATCGTATGGTGAGGAGTCCCTCTCAACAGCTGGCCCGTGGCTGTCCGTCTTCACCCAGGACTACCAAAAGATTGGCTGAGATGACATCTAAGTGACCTGCCTTGTGTTAAATATAAGAATTTCTTTCTGACAGAGCTTGGTTACCAGAATAACCGATGATTCCTCTGTTCTGATTGTTAAAATAGTAGCATAAAACCATCTCTCTTGACTGGCCCAGAATAATAAAACCGGGGAACACCTGTGAATTGGTAGAAGGGAGTATATGACACAGAACTGGTGGGTGCACACGCCGCATTCACCAGCCTTCCTTAGGGACCAAAGACACATGATACTTTAAAGTCCCCAGGTAATGGTAACGGCTCCTCCAAGACAGGAACAGCACTGTGGATGGTGTGGAATAATCAGTAATGTTGGTAAAACAAACAAACAAAAACGCTCCATTCATAAGCTGAGTCAGGCTATCTCCAGAGTGAACTGACGACGTCCTGCCAACAACGTGAAGCATCTTTCTTAGGAGTCTGCCGCACTCTCCTCACAAGAAGGCCTGCGGTTCCCTGCGGGAGACGCGGGGGTTCCTGGGTCAGAGACAAAGGGGTTTATTCCCACAGTGCTAGGAGCGGCCAGAGTGTCCGCACCTGCGTGGACACCTCAGCCTGGCTCCCGAAGGGTGACGCTAAGTGCGCAGGGGATACTGCACACACAGAGGGACGTGCTGTAGCTTAGGGTGCCGGAACCTGCCCTGGGCAGATAGTGCGCCCGCCTGACCGCTGCCCCGGAGCGAGGCATCAGCACCCCTCCGCCGCGGGAAGAGGCGACCCTGTCCTCCGAGGCTGTGCTCCGCAGACGGCCCGGGCAAGACCGGCGGGCATCGTGCCGCTCCGCAGACCTGCAGAGATTCCACACCCCACGCAGAGCTGTCTCCCGACTCTCACCGCCCATTAACTGAGACGGGAAGTAGAAGGCAGAGCTGGAAAGGAGTAAGTTTTATCAACTAACTTTCTAGACATGGAGACAGGCCCGGAGGATCAGACTGACCTAAAGCCAGGCCAGCTGTCAGTGTCAGAGACTGTGAGTGGGAGTCCCAAGTCACCTTCCTGCCAGCTTTCCCATGCAGGTCACACTTGCACACGCGTGCCTGCGCTTGGGTTTCACTAGGAGCGCTCTCCGTGTTCCGACAGAGTCAAGCATCCGGGAAAACTCACCTGGAAAAGCATTTTAAATAGTTGAGAGAATCCGCTGCGGTGGGAACAGATTTTCTATAATTTGACAGTTTTTGAAAAAAAAAAATACCCTTTCCCTACTCACCGATATTTCAAAAACTATTAGAGCAGTATGCCTCCCACAAACAAAACAAGCAACAGGAATGGCAAAACAATTTCTTACCATCCCACATTGAGGAAGTTAAAATCACATTAGGCTATTTATTTCAGTCCAAAAGTGCACAGAGTCCCTTAACCTGTGCTAGGAGTCGGGCAACCTAAGGAAAAAAGACACGCTTAATTTGTTATTTCAATAGGGTAACGATTCTATAAACTACAAATTCATAACAGTTTGGAAACGTCACACGTATTTTAAAAGAATTTGATAATATAAACTAACTCCCTTGGGATTTCTGGGAAAGCCCAGCACCCCACGTGCCTCACACACAGACAAGTACCTGCCTAACAGGAGGGCAGGCAGGAGCCAAGCTCCAGGAGAAAACAGCGTCCTCACACCACGTCACTCCGCGGGCCTGAATTCATCGCACACTCGACGTGGTGTTGCATTAACCCGTGCTAAACACGTTGCCTAGGGAAAACGTCGTCTTTTAACAGTCACCACTCACCCAAAACCCAAATAAGTAAATATACAGGAATTTTAAAATACAAAAACTATCTTTATTATTTTTAGAGCCAACACAGTGGCTTTTGGCATAACTATCCATTTCTAATACAAAACTGGATTAAATAAATAGCATCCAATGTATAAATAGACCATGAAACAATTCTGAAGATAAAAAGAGAACTCTTCTGTAAATAAAAAAAAAAATTAACTTTAAAAATTCTCTTTACCGGTGAGTCAAGAACGAATCACTATGTCACTTTAGAATTTGTCAGATATAATACAAAATCTTGATTTCATACAAAAGTCTTCATGCTTGTAAAGTGTTACACATAAAAAAACTAAATAGCAAAATCTCATAGGATTGCTGCCTATCGCTCCTGCCATTTGACACTAACCTTTAGTTTTTAGCACTTGATTAGTCACCCAGGTAAAAAACTAGTGCGATGCCTCTGACTCGGGCGAGCGTGAAGCGGAACAGATGAGTGGGGGCGCCGCTCTGGGCACGTGTGTGTCTGAGGAAGGGACACAAATTCAGAGAGGGCAAACAACGACCAAGGAGGATGCCTGGCTTAGGAACCCGCCCAGGGCAAAGGAAAGGGCTTCGCTAGGAATTTGTGGGGCATGTGGCGTTACAAAATATTTTGTTGCTCCCACTTTTTCAGT